ATCGACGAAAGAGGACCTCTGAACCTACTCTCTTATAATCACGAACCGATGTCTAAATAAAATGGAACATTATGGAAAATGCTTGGTTCAAAAATCGCTTCTTTGATAATAGAGCATTTTCCTGGAAATAAAGCTGCATTATCGGATAGTGCTCTGTTCAAAAATCCACCTCTAATGTCAAATACGGATTTACAGAACGGGGCAAAAAAAAAAAGGAACAGATGATCACCTTATTCCTGTTATGCTACCTTATTCTTGTTATGCTGGGAGAATTCCTTTCATCGAAGGGAAAGACGAGTGGAGATCGACATTAGTTATTAGATCGGGGATGAGAGTACTGGAGACCGTTCACTTGAGAGTACGAACGAAAAATTTACAATAAATTCAAGAAGGAAATTCCAGTCAGGTTCAGCGAAGTGATTCGGATGGTTGATGTTAGAGAGAACGGGCGGATGAAACGAGATATGAAAGAAGTTCGGCTTCGAAAACAGGATGAAAGAAAGGGCACAAGACGTGAGATGTGTTGTCTGTGAAGAGGACTTCTTCCTCGACACAGAAAGCCTGCGTTTGTCATACAGTCTGTCTGTCTGTCTGGGTGTCTCTGTCTGGACTGGGTGAAACCCAGACTTCTCCCATTTGCATTCATTAACCTCGTTCTTTATTCTCTTCCCTTCGTGAGCCCCCGCGTGGAAGCTCCGGCAGTGCGGGTTGCCTACTCCCCAGATCTGGCTCCGAGTGACTTCTTTCTCTTCCCGCGTCTGAAGTCTACCCTGAAGGGTCGTCGTTTTGATGACGATGAGGAAATGCAAGCTGCCACGACGGCAGCACTGAAGGTCGTTGCAAGTAAATGGCCTGTAACCCTCTTTCATGCGACTGGATGACTGCTTAAAAATGTGTACCCAAGGGGACTACTTTGAAGATCATATCTTTGTACCTCACTCTTCGCTGGAATCATCAGGAAAAAAAATTTATAACGAAAGATTTTGATCGGCCCTCGTATATTATATACCCGATAATCACATTAGGGATATTCCAGTTCCTGATGGCCATGACTGAAATCCAGGCTGCTAGTTAACTGTGACCACTGAATCAGAAAAGGAAAGAACCGTCCCCGAAATAGATTTTGAAAAGTGGGAGAAGGCAGGAAAGAGAAGGATAGGATTTATGGTATGTATCTTGTACATCAAATTTTTGGCATTTTAATGCGAACAAATGTGTTTCGACGTTTGTCCTCAGGTCACTCTTGAATTATTGTCACCTCAACCATAAGGATATTCCACCCTCAAGATAATTTGACACATCAGAAGCCGACTCTTTCGATGATTTGAAGTTGACTGCCCAACTCTCGACAGGAATTTTGAGTCTTCCTTGTCGATCTATAGTCCCAACGCTGTATCATGCTTCGCATGGAGACTGCAGCTGCATTCGCATTCCACCGTGCCCCGCAGTAACTACAGGAAACTTCATCTCTATTGTTTCTCTGTAGGAGGGTGAAGTGTCGACATTTTTAAAATGTAAGAACTAATTCTATCAGAGTAGAACATGGGCTCTCTAATCATATGAATTCAAAAATTATGTCTAAAATCAATATCTGGATCAGATCAAGTCTCGTTTCTTTAAAAGTATCGAAATAGAGACGGATAATTATGGGAAATTAGGTTTCCAATGAGCTATTGATTGTGAAACACGGTAGAAAAATCCGGGACCAGTTCACTGGACAAAAATCCGGTCATACAGACAGCTGCAGGTCGTTGTACAGGTGGTTTCAGAGTTCGGAGTACATAGGGAAATTACATTGTGACATGATGAATGCGTTTGGAATCGGAACATTGACTCGATGCTGAATTGATCCCTAGGTCGTGTGCCACTGTACCAATGAGGCTTACAGTACGTGGCTTGCCAGCAATACTGCCATTTTCCTTGGAAAGTTCCACAGATTTCGTAATCATTGGCAGGGAAGGTGTTCGGCGATTCTAGCCGCCTCGTCATATGCTCTTAGATGAATAGAAGCGCTTCTGGAATCTCACCCCCTTGTTCTTCTCTTGTTTATTATTTAAGCACGAGATTTCTTGTGACGTAATTTCAAGGTGATTTATGAGATTCTGGACATCACACATCTGCTTAGGTAAACAACAACTTTAGCATTTCTAACCTATATTGAGTCAAATAATACAGGAATAGTTGGATGTCTATGCATTCGTTATTTTACAATGTAATTTCCCTATGTATTCCGTAAATCTGAGACACCCTGTGTTCATAGATTCTGAGCATCAGCTGATGTCCTCCATGGCCTCGGTACGTGCGTGTATTCGAATAGACAGGAATAGATGGATCTTTGGTATCTGACATCACGGGGCCAAGGGTAGGAGTAAAGTCCATGCCGCCCGGTTTCCACGGGCATCTATACTGTACGAAGGGTGTAACGACACGGGAAACACAGAGAGGGCATAGGGGTTGCATTCCTTCCGCCGGCACTAGACTTTTCATTCTCCTGGATTCGCTGTCACTCGGTTATCTCGCTCTGTCTCGTCCTTAAGCATGAACTCGAGATGCTTCAACATGCCATCCATCGAATACTTGAATCTGATTTATTCCCTTGTTACCATGACCGGATTCGTACCCAAATGGGAGGAGGCGGATGAGACATCGATGTGCTGTAGCCGGCTCCAGCACACCGATGTCTCATTGGATCCATCCAATTCCACGTGAATTATACTTGCACATTGACGCTGATAAGATCTGTAGTGTCATGGAACATGGATCCGTCCTTGCCTGGACGGATCCATGTCCATGTCAGGAGCTCGCTCCGATCCGATTCGTGTCATTGTTCTATTTCCCATTCAAAACAGTGGGACAGCTGAATAAATGCTCTGCTTCGATTCGCTTAGACTTCCGGACGCTCTAAACTCAACGCATTTTTTCCACGAGCTTTCAGACGAGAAAACCGTGAGGAAACTGCGGTCGCCAAAAACGAAAGTTTTGCTATGTTGCAGATATGAGGCAACCGTGGGGCAGGAGATGGTGGCACTGATTCAAAACGCAGTTACAGGACCATGAAGAGTGGTCAGGTGAGCCCTTGTCAGAAGAGGAAAGGAAAGGAAGAAGAAAAAATGCGAAGCGAAGGGAACTCGAAAATGAAGTTTCCCTTCTCTCATACGAGTTTGCGTCGCGCTGCTGTTTCACTTGTCTCTTTTCCTTAGAAGCTGACTACTTGGAAATCTCCCCTTCCCTCTTTTTCCCTTCGTGCCCGAGGTTCAAGGCCGAAGCTTTGGGGCGGGGCGCGAGGAGGCATTTCTGCCCCCATTGACATCCCGAGCAAGAAGCCCAAAGATTATCCCGTTCAGGAGTCAGGAGTCAGGAGAGTTAGTGATATCAAGAGGCGATTTCGCCAATTTCGATATCACGTGTCGAACACTCTGCAAGTAAAGAATTCCTGTCTCGACCTGAGCCGCACCTGCGGTTTCCGTTCAGGCCGACCAGATTCCACTCGTTGCATGGGGGCGATGCAGGACAGTAGTGACCACGCAGAATTGACTTCAAAATGGCATATCATCTTTCAATCGCCACGTTCAGGAAGGTATGTTGGATTTCGATCAAAACTCGATTAATCAATCGGTTACTTGTTCCAGGATAATCGATTGAAGAGGTAATGGATTAGCAGGAGCCCTTCCACATCTTAGGCATTCTTATGAGGTTTTAGGAGAAATTCCTGGAACAAAGCAGAGTCAAACAATGAAGACAAGAAAATGAGAATTGTGTATTAACTCCTATAAAAGAACGCCTACTGCCTTTGAAGAACGGCACTCCATAATGCCCCTGAGTTTTTTTTTTTTCCGCCACGGTATTAGGTACCTTTATGTTCTATAACTCGTCTCAGGCTCAGGGGACGTAAAAGAAAGAAGAGAATGATGCTCCCCCCTCTCGAGATGAGGTGCCTTCTTCCATTTAGCTCTAATGAAAGTAGGCTGGAGCGCGTGGGAGTGATGTTGAAGACGAGAGGGAACGCTCCTTGAGGAATCACGAAGACCCATTTCCTCCGGAACGCTCCTTGAGGAATCACGAAGACCCATTTCCTCCGCTCTGCACGACTCTTCCCTCTTTTCCTACACAATCGGGCTTCTTGCCTTCGCTCGCAATTGGATCTGATTAATCACGAGCGAAAAGGCTTCGTTTCCCTGCTCAGTGGGAGGCCTTGCACTTAATCGAAGAACTTGGCCTCTGCCCCAAAATAACGTGCTTCGCGGGGGAGATGACTTGCATGGTTTCCCTAATCTAATGAATTTCCGTTTCCCTCTGTAACATTGCCGGACGAAGGACGTCAGTCTCGATTCGTATACCATTTATTGAGGTTGATCGAAGGATTAAATGTCATTCTTTCCTCCAGAATGGAGTGGAAATAAAAGCATTGGCAATCGTACCCGCATGCAACAACTCTCTCACTGACATGAACTATGATACCGTCCATGCTTAAACGCGGAACTAAACAAGAAGTCCGACTACTAATAGTACACCCATACACTTTCCCTTCAGTTAATGTACCTGTACACAACCCAATGTTTCCGTATCTGTACAATGAGGCCTTGCAGAGCACTGGAAAACTTTCCGTCAGAGATGGAAAAAACATACTCGTCTGAAGCTCGTCAACAATATGTGGATGGCAGATATAAAAATATTTTACATTTGAATGTAAAATGTTTTGTATGCACAAAGCGAACAGTTAGCGATCTTATTGCCTCGTGGTATGCGTGGTATGCGTGCGCGAATGGAACGCCCCAAATACGTTTGATTTGAGTCCGTTCCACCCAGGAACACATGGGACGCAAGCATCCAGGACTCTGCATGCCTCATCCACTATGCGTGGATTGCATACTCTGCACATCCCCGTGCTGTAGGATCATCAGCCAAGATCTCGCCTGGCATCAAAACTGCACGGGATTGCATCCGCCCCCGCTATAAACTACCGAAGGGAGAACCAAGAGCTGGGTGGGGAAGGAGGCTTCCTAGCGCAGATGCATTTCCAGGAAGTGCTGTTTGCTCTTGAGCCGGGGACCCCATGCTCCGTGTTCGTTGGGACCCTTGCCTCCATTCTCCTGTCGTGGTTTCTGTTCCCAGATTTTCTTGGTGTCGCCTCCGCCCACCCTAGAGGCAAAGCTCGTCTCTTCAACCTGTTTGTACACGGGGAATCCTGCTCTGTAAATAAAAGTCTCTCACTTGCTCTTGGGTCCTCCAATAGTGGAAACATTGGTCTTGGCAAATTCGAGCACCATCTTGAAATCTTTTGCTGGCTTTCACGTCGAGTTTGATTCCGTCGAGATAATCTGCAGATCCGTCGAGATCGCTTTTCTTCGACCTGCACGATGGAAGAAATTCAAATCACAGCGCTACGTTAGGGTACTTCATCGAGTGCGCAGACGAAGGAGAGTTCGACCGATACTTACAAATTCAGACGATAGCCTACGGTATGTGATGAATGCGGGTGAGGACCTGGAATTCCAACTTGTTTCCTGAGTTGCCCAAGCGACTCCCTTTTCTCGACTGCAAGCTATCAAACCTGAAGAGGACGAAAATGCCCAAAATGGCGTCACCACCGGGACATCCGCGACAGTAACAACGACCCGTCTCTCTTTGTTTTCAGACTTTTCCTCGGACCCGTACGCGATACTCACCTTCGGGACTTTAACACGAAGTTTGTGTAGCGAAGATAGTAGACCCAGTGGCGCATCGACACATGAGCGAGGACACGCACGAAGTGAAGGGGACGTAGAGCGACGAAGAACTGACTTGAAGACCTCTGCGAGCGAGTCCTTTTGTAAGGAGTAACCCGCGTTGATAAAAGGAAATCTCCTTGCCGTCACCGACTTGTTTACCTTGATCTCCGCAGATGCAGCAGAGAAGAAGCAAGGGGGCTTATCGCTCTCCGTCTCTCCGGTTGCACTGCATATTCAGCTCTCCCGACTTTCGCCCCCGAAATCCCCTTTCAAGAACCCCTCAAAGCTCCCAGCTCGGACGTTTTGCCACGCTCGCAAGGGCCGAAAAATCGCGGAGTCGTTCCCGGAGTTTGCAAGTCCACTTTTCGCTCCGGTGTCGAGGTTCGCGAAATTTTCGCTCCCGTGAAGGATGCGACGGATCCGATTCATATCTGAGAAGAACTTGTTTTTCTTCACGTGATGGGCTCTTGATCTCTGACGTCGTATCGTTCTTTCCTTGACCAGCTGACAATAATTTATTACTTGGGAAGTCAAATGCCTGTTTCTGCGCTGGGATAGCCTGCGGCAGTTGTTTCTATGCCCCCAAAAAAAACCTGTACTGGTTTTATTGTTCGTTTCAATACTCTATGAATCATACTTTTTTTTACCGTCAGTACGATCCGAACAAGGTGACCCGTTTGAAAAGTTTGCCGATGAATGAGCACGTACGACACAAACCGATGGACGGAAGAAGCTGAAACTTGACACGTAAACTACTGGCGGCACGGGCTTCTATAGATAAGAATGTGAGAAACAAGCATGAGAAATGTCTTTTGAAACCCCCCGGCCACCTCTCCCCGGCAAATCGGCCATGGGATCCAGTCTTTTCAAAATTTGCCCCATGTTTTTCCAGCCAGGGCCGTAAATAAGGGGGGGCAAGGGGGGCATCTGCCCCGGGCGCCGAGAAGGGAGGGGGGCGAAGAAAGCGAAAGGCGAATGAGGCACAGAAAAAAAAGTCTTGCCCAGTGAAAATAAAATCAAGCGGCAAAGAAAGTGAACTTTGATCATGTCATTGACATCTTTGCGTTTCGCAAAGCAAGGAAAGTTGTGCTATAATTATATAGGGTTTAGGGGAAAAGCCACCCGGAAATAAGACCCCCAGATTTGGCAAAGGCAGAAAAGCGTAATCCCGTTACGTTCGGGTCAGATTAAAGACTCATTCATTTTTGGGACATTTAGTGATATGGATGTCATGTAATTTGATCAACTTTATCGAAATGTTCTGAAAAATAAAACAAGCCCAACTTCAGCCCATTCCTTAAAAATGAACAGTATGGCCAACCCTATTTTCCGCAGGAAATCTTTGGTTTGTGGCCGTGTTGCAGGATGAGGTGATTCCACTCTCTGAACGCTTCTTGCAATTTGTTCTTAAATAATTGCTCTGGGATCATGTAAGGTTTTTTTTTTTTAATTTTATCCCCCTCCTATCCACTTTCACACCTTTTTCCAGGGAGTGGAGAGGATCAGGATTAGCTCCCCCCCC